GGGTGGAGGTGGAGGTGGTGCTAGTATAGGGTCTTGGGGTGAAGGTGGAGGTGGTGCTGGTATGGGGTGTTGGTGTGGAGTTGGAGGTGGTGCTGGTGTGGGGAGTTGGGGTGGATGGGGAGGTGGTGCTGGTGTGGGGCTTTTGGGTGGAGGTAGAGCTGGTGTGCGAAGTTGAGGTGGAGGTGGAGGTTGTGCTGGTGTTAGTCCTGGCTGTGGACGCCCAAGCAGTGTGTGTCTCCAGAGTTGCGGTAGTCCTGGGTGTGTGTGTGGACGCCCAAGCAGTGTGTGTCTCCAGAGTTGCGGTAGTCCTGGGTGTCACCTCACAGATGTCCACCCACTCACAGCACTCTATCCGGATCTCATAGTTGTAGCAGATGGGTGGAAGCTGCTCCCGGTTCAGGCAGAGCAGCCCCACCTCAGGGTTGCAGGTCACCTTCTGCCCCAGCTCAGCCAGTGGTGTGTTGGGGAAGAACTGGGCCCGGCACTGCACATTCTGGGGCCTGTCACAGAACTTGTACCCTCGCAGCCGCAGTTCCTCCAAGGTGTCAAAGTCTCCGCTGTCCCTGCTGGACCCTGGGTAACTGCCATCGATCCACTCGGTCCAGGTGCACTGCTTTTGTCGACAGGAGGAGGTGGTTGGCACCAGCTTTGAGCTAGAGGTCGAAGCCGTGACTCTGACAGATGAGGGGCTCCCCGTGGCAGTGGAGACAGTGGTCAGGCCTGTGGGTGTGATGGGAGCCGAGGAGGAGGCTGTGGGGCTGGAGGAGGTGGGGCAGGAAACAGGATGGCAGCACAGGACTCGGACCTGGTAGTTGTCACAGAGTCCCGACACCTGGTCCCGGTTGTGGCAGGTCAGCCCCACCATGGGGCTGCACTCCACATGCTGCCCTAGGACACTGAGGGGCACGTCAGGGACATCTTCTGCCCTGCACTGCACCTCCCTGGGTGCTTGGCACAGCTGGTACCCATGGGCACGGAGGTTCTCCAGGGTGTCGAAGTCCCCACTGTCAATGCCACGTCCAGGGCGGCTGACGTCCAGCCACGGGGTCCACACGCACTCCTCCCCGCAAGGCTGGGAGGTCACGGAGGTGTCGGCCGGTGTCTCCCTGAGGGTGGTGTGGGAGGCAGGGAGCCTGGTGCCGCTCTGAGGGCCTGAGGACACTGTGCTCCCGGTGGAGGGGACATGTGTGTCCGGGGAGTGTGTCGAGCTCTTAGCTAGGGACAGAGGACACAGGCCTGGGTGTCAGGGGCCATACTCAACTCCCACCGCCCAGCCCCAGCATCCCTGCTGCTGGGAAGCTGCCTGGTCATCTTCTTAAGGCCGGCCTGGTAGCAGCGGGCACAGGACACAGCCACCCCCAGGCCCCCTCCCTTGGGGCTCGTTCTGGCTGGCCCCAGGCAGAGCCATCATTTGTGTTCCCTGCTCTTCATTCGGGGAGAACCTGAGACCCTCTGAAGGGCAAGGCCCTGGGGTGCCTGGTGCCCAGGCAATGTCCCTCTGTGGCAGGGAAGCTGCAGTGTGACAGGCGGGGTGAGGGAGCGATCACGCTGCAAACACCGGCCTTACCCTCAGACGCCGTGGAGAAGGTGAAGGTGGTGGGCGGTGGGGTGCTGTGGGAACCACAGGCATAGGCCTTCCTTTCCACGGTGCCATTGGCCCCGCAGCTTGCGGAGAGGCAGCCGCCCATGCCGTCTGTCGTGTGGTAGATCTCGGCCCCGGGCTGGAAGCGCCGCCCGTTGTAGGTGCAGAAGCAAGCTGTGGAGAGCAGTGGCGGCCCATGAGGGGCTGGGCACAAGTTGGGCCCCCACCCAGCCCTGACACCCTGTGGCTGCTCACCTTCTGTGTCATAGGTGCAGCTCACACCACCTTCTGTGCAGATGCTGGCAAGGGAAGGAAGGAGTTGGCATTAGGGTCCCTGGCCCAGCACTAGTGGCTGGGACAGTCATCTGAGCCCCTGCCGGGCCTCTTCCCCATTCACGCGTCCCAGGACGGACCCTAGCCGTGACAGATGGAGGCAGGCAGGGCAGGGGCTCAGCGCATGCCCCTGGAGGGGCTAGAGGTGGCACCCCTGCATCTCTGGGTGCTGTCTAGGCTCAATATCCCCTCTGCACCTCACCTGGGGGCCCCTAAGATGCCCTGGAACCTGGCCAGGGCCCAGGAGCACAGGAGCAAGGCCACACGCCTCCGCAGGGACTCACCAGGAGTGGCAGTTCTCTGCAGAGGGCACGGGCGCTCCCAGCTTGTATGACTTCCCGTGGATGTGGCAGAGAGGCACAGACTTGTGCGGGCACCGCACCACGCACTGCATCTTATCCTCATCGAAGATGGGGGTCTCCGGGGGACACTTGGGGTAACAGCCTGTGCACCAGGGAGGCTTAGTACCAGGACAGCCTCCGTCCCATCCCCAGGGCCCACCTGCCACAGGACAGACCCCAGCCCCTTGCACTCAGCCCAACCCACCTTCCAGGCCGCGAAATTCCTGCAGGCAACGGCCACTGGGGTTGCGGCAGGTGCGCAGGCAGGGCGCCCCACAGGGCTGGTAGTGCCACTCACACTCCCCGGCGGGGTTGTAGTAGTCGCAGAAGAGTGCTGGGCGGGGCAGAGGAGTGTCAGCTCAGAGAGCACCCTGCCTTGGCCCTCTACCCCGCCCTGCCCATGCTGTCCCGCCACAGCCAGCTGGGGGTCAACCTCTGGAGAAGCCACCGCAGGTCCCAGCCTGGGCCAGCCCCACCCTGCCTCCAGGCTTCACTAGTGAACTGTGCTCCTGAACCCGCGTCCCAGCCCCGGCCTGTGCACTCACGGCAGATGTCGGGCGTCCTCCAGGACACACACACCCCCGCCACATGGCAGGCCTGGGCATAGGCAGCCACGGCTGTACAGAAGCACTCGCAGTCGCCCCCCGAGTCACAGGCGCACGCATCGCTCACACAGGCCTCGTAGTACTTGGCCGGCTCCACCTGAGGGGCACAGGATTCAGACGCCAGGACCCTGGCTCCCCTGGGCTCTCAGCGGGGGTCGGGCTAGCTGGGTGACCTGCGCCAGTTCCCCAAGTGGCCAGCCACGCCCGTCACCGTCACTATATCCCCAGAGCAGTGTGATCCTAGCCAGCTCCAGCTGCACAAGCCCTGGCAGCCACAGAATCAACACCTCACAGCTCCAAAGCCACAGCTGTGGCTGCGAGAGCCAGCACCAGCCCCTACTGGGCCCCAGCTGCCCACGCTGATGGTGTCAGCCGGTCCCTTTCTCAGCCACTGCCCTTGATGCATCCCCAGGCGTACCTGGGCATGGCAGGCGGAGAAGGCAGCACTGTTGATGATGCTGCACTGCCTCTGGGCCCAGGACTTGCGGTACGGGTTGGCCACACAGGGGTCCTTGGGCGCCGGGGCGTCGGGGCAGGTGGGTGAGAGCTTCCAGCTGTTCCCAAACTCCAGCACATCGCCCACCACAGCCTGGCTGCGTGTGGTCAGGTCATTGACGGCGTTGTCGTCGAAGTTCCCGCACAGGCCACCGACCTTGCCCTGAAGGGCAGGGAGAGGGTGAAGGAGAGGCCCCTGGGATCCTGGGGTGCACACTGCTCCCACCTCCCCTGTCACGGCCTGAAGCGGCAGTGGAGGCTCGTCCAGGCCCCGTCCATGCCCCCAGGGAGACCACATCCCCCTCCCTCTCCACAAGCACCTCCCTCCTTCTCTGACTCGAGGTGCAGGTGAGGCCCAATCAGTGCAGGGGGCCACGGACCACCATGGCCAGGCTGGGCCAGGCACGCAAAGGAGTCAGAAACACCCTGGCTGCCCATCCTGCCCCACATCCTGAATCTCCACCTCTGCCCCAGCCCCTCTCCCTCTGTCTCTGTCTGTCTGTCTGTCTGTCTGTCTGTCTCTCTCTCTCTCTCTCTCTCTCTCTCTCTCTCTCTCTCTCTTTCTCCCTCTCCTTTTCTGTCTCTCCCCACCTGTGTCTGTCTCCCTGTATCTCCCTATCTCTTTCTGTTTCTGTCTCTCCTTATCTCTCGCTATCTGTGTCTCTCTGTCTGTCTCTGTCCCCTCCCCATCTGTGTGTACAGCAGAGCTCAGGGTGACTGACAGCAGTGGTCTCCCTCGCTGGGCCTCACCTTGAACTCAGGGCTGAGCCTGAGGAAGAGACTGGTTTTCTGGTCCCAGAGTAGCAGAAGGCCAATGCCAGTGTCCACCACTGTGTAGATGCCCTTCTGGTGCATGGTGTAGGGTGGCTCCTGCCCGGTTTTCCTCTGGACCACCTCCACCTTCCCACTGCTTAGCTTCAGCTCGTAGCTCTGCACGACAGGGCTCCCTCAGGGCCTGGCAAGGACCCCTCTGCCCCATGTCCCCACACCCATTCCATGAGCCCTTCGCACCCCCAGGAAGATCTTGATGTCCTTGGAACAGGTGGTCCCCGTAGTGCCACAGGGGACGTTCTCGGTGACCACACGGAGGGCATCTTGGGCACTGGCCTTCCCACTACGCTGGTCCTGGGGAGGAGAAGGTTGTGGGCAGGTGGGCCAGGACCCTCAGGGCAGCCAGGAGTCCCAACAGCTCCCAGCCAGCCACATACCTGCAGCAGTGTGTACTCGCAGGCCCCATTGAAGGTGTAGCGCTGCCCATCAAAGGTGAGGACGTGGCCGTCCCCATAGACTGCACAGGTGGCCAGACAGGGCTCCTCTGTGCACCGCCACATCCGGTTCTCACAGGTGCTGTGGGGTGCAGGTTCACACAGGTGCTGGTGCTGCAAGGACTTCAAGCCCAGGCTACCCAGTCCACCCATCCTCCAGGCCCTGTGCTGGTCACTCCGTGCCTAACAGGGACTTCTCTCCATGGAACTGGTAGTAGTCTATGCCCTGTGGCCAGCCCCGCCTACCAGGTGTTGCAGCCATCGAGGACAGTCTCCCCGGGCCGGTAGCTGGCCTCGTTGTGCACGCAGGGACAGTCCTCCTCGGCAACACAGCCTCCATCACCATCTGCCACCAGCCCATCGGGGCACACGCAGCCAGAGACGCACTGGGTGTTGTACTGTGGGGCACGTGCACATGGCTCAGGGGCAGGGACAGTCGGCAGGACCCTCCGTGTGCCCCAAGAAGTAGCCACAGGACACAGGCCATGGGAGCCGCAAGACCAGCCAAGATCAGGCGGTGACCTTAAGAATGCCTGAGAGGTACCCAGCAGCCCCACCCAGGGCAGCACGGGACCTACATGGGCCACAAGGGGTCACAGGGGCCATGGAGTCCCCGGGGTGGCCAGCACTCACACAGGCCATGTCCAGGGTGTGACAGCTCTTCTGGCAACCAGCCCCAGCAGCCCCCAGTGTGGCATTACGGCAGTCAAAGTACACCATGGGCGCGTCACACACTGCAGAGGAGATGGCGCTCAGGGGACCCCAGCCTGCCACTCAGGCCTGCTGGGACACAGGCTGCAGAGCAGCCTCGCCCATGCGCTCCCAGCTGGCTGGTGCTCCGTGTGTGCTGTGTGGCACACGTGCAAGGCCCCATGTGTGCTGTGCGTCGCACGTGCAAGGCCCCGTGTGTGCTGTG